CACCTGCCGTTATCAGAGATTCTTTAACTTTTCTCTTCAAGATAACGCCCCCCATCCTACCCCGCCCCGCCCCTATCTACCCCAGACCAGTCAGATCTATATGATGACAATTAGACAAAGGGTTGTTTTAGCTCGAGCAGTAAAACACAGCTAGCTCCACCGGGGCGTGTCCACGGAGTATCGTCTGAGATACTAGCTTTGACTCTTCTTTTGACTCTTCTTTGGTGCTAGGCAGGCTAACTGTTGTCCTAGTCCCCTGGTGCCTTCCCACTAACTACCCAGCATGCACACATCAGGCCGAACTTTGATTGACATCAGTCACCTGACACACCTTACCTTACGTTACCTGTCGTTTTCTGTCGCCCGTGAGTCAAAACGTTAGCCCACCCTTGCTATGGAGTAACAGTCTTCTTCTTCTTTTTCTTTCGGCTTTGTCCCTTTTTTTCAGGGGTTGCCACAGCAGATCATTGATTTTCATCTCCCAGAGAACAGGGGGAGATGGAGTAACAGTAAAAAAGTAAAAAAAAAATTATGATGTTTTTTTTTTGGAATGCGGGTGGGAGGGAAGAGGGAAACAGCGCCCTCTCCTGCAGCCAGGAGTCGCCACGGTTTCCTGGATCATATCCTATCTTCTGTCAGTCCTATAACTAACGTTATCAACGCTCAGGGTCAAAGGCGCGATAACGCTGACAGTGAAGACGCCAAGGCCAGACTATCATACCTCCAAGGTCGGAAGTTACAGGTGCGTAAATTAGTGCTAAACCAGGACAGAGGCGATTAAAGGAGGCATGGACGTGCACCGACGTCCTTTGTTCTGTCTTACTTAGCGACAGCTCACTGGCCAACACGCCACCCAGTGGTCGTGGTCCGATTTTCAGTTTGAGCCACAGGCGGGACATCGTGTTAGTCAGGCGCAGTACTTTAGTAGGGATGTCTGATATTTATTTTTCCGATATCCGATATCCCGATATTGTCCAAACACTACCCGATTCCGACATCAACCGATACCGATACAGGCCGCGGTAATTGGTCACACAGGGTTAAAGGGTTAGGCCCAGACATTCAAACCAAACTGCGGCCCACTACCGCAGCCTGGGCCGAGTAGGGGGTTCCAATCCCCAGATGAGTATTTGGTCATGACGTAGAGCAGCAGATCAGCTGTTCCCCCCCCCCCCCAAAAAA